AGCAGGGCCGGCGCCTCGGGGGCCACAGCCCCGCTCACACATCCTCTCCCGCCAGGCATGCCCACGTGCCGGTGCCCCACGGGCTTCACGGGCCCCAAATGCACCCAGCAGGTGTGCGCGGGCTACTGCGCCAACAACAGCTCCTGCACCGTCAACCAGGGCAACCAGCCCCAGTGCCGATGTCCACCGGGCTTCCTGGGGGACCGCTGCCAGTACCGTGAGTGAGCCACCCCCGGGCCCCGGAGGGGGGCGCCCAGCTGGCCGTCACAGGGGCATGCTTTAGGGAGGGAGGCCACTCGCGGCTCGGGCGGGCTCAGGTTGCCCCCCTGTAGAGGCTCAAGGTGGTGAGCCCCCTGGCGTCAGGATTGCTCCAGCGAAAGCAGCGGCGGCAGGCTGTTTGGGGCCGTGTCCTCATGCTCTGAGTCTGCGACGGGGGGGTTAGCCACAGGGGGCTCAGGAGGAGCTGGGAGTCACCTACAAGACCTGGGGGTCCCCTCAGGCGTCCACAGGCTGGGGAGGACCTCGTGAGGGCGGGGCTTGAGACACCTCCCCGCCCCGCCCCCACAGGGCAGTGCTCTGGCTACTGTGAGAACCTGGGCACGTGCCAGATGGCCGCCGACGGCTCCCGGCAGTGCCGCTGCACCGCCTACTTCGAGGGACCGAGGTGTGACGTGAACAAGTGCAGCCGCTGCCTCGACGGAGCCTGCGTGGTCAACAAGCAGAGTGGGGACGTGACCTGCAAGTGAGTGGGGCCTGGCCCGCAGTCCTGCCCGGCCCAGACCCCGCCCTGGCCCCCCTCCGCCCCGCCCCTCCCTCGGCGCCTCAGCCACCCGCTCCCAGCCCAGCCAGCCTGCCATTCCTCCCCGCAGCTGCTCCGACGGCCGGGTGGCCCCCAGCTGTCTGACCTGCGTCGGCCACTGCAGCAACGGCGGCTCCTGCACCATGAACAGCAAAATGATGCCCGAGTGCCTGTGAGTTGGACCTGAGCCCTCCCGAGACCTAGCTCATCCCCACCCCCCCCAAATCTGAGCAGGGACCCTCGGGACCCTGCGGCCCCTCCCAGTTCCGTGGCAGCCATGGCTGTGGAGGCCGTGCCTGCTCAGGTCTGCCCCTCCTGCCTGCAGGTGCCCACCCCACATGGCAGGACCCCGGTGTGAGGAGCAGGTGGTCAGCCAACAGCAGCCTGGACGTAGGTGGCAGGGGATGGGGAGGCAGAGCTCCAGGGGCCTGCAGCAGGGAGATTTTAGCCTCCCGTTTTCCCTGATCCCCTCTGACTCCGTTTCCCACCTCCTCCCCTCCAGATATGGCCTCCATCCTCATCCCTCTGCTGTTGCTGCTGCTGATGCTTCTGGTAGCTGGAGTGGTATTCTGGTACAAGCGGCGAGTCCGAGGGTGAGTTATGGAAAATTCTGGCTATTAGTTTACCATCCTAGCCTTGCCCTCCTAGAATCCCTGCCCCATTAAAATCCTGCTTCCCCCAGGGCTAAGGGCTTCCAGCACCAGCGGATGACCAACGGGGCCATGAATGTGGAGATTGGGAACCCCACCTATAAGATGTATGAAGGCGGGGAGCCTGATGATGTAGGGGGCCTACTGGATGCTGACTTTGCCCTGGACCCTGACAAGGTGGGCCGGGAGGACAGAGGAGGAGGCTTCCAGGGTAGAGACAAGAGACTGTGGGTGGGACGATGAAGGGCACTGGGTTGGATGATGGAATGGAGGTGGGGCGCCGGGCACCTGGGCCACAGATCCCATCCCCTGAGCCCCACTTGAACCCTCTGTCACCTTGCAGCCCACCAACTTCACCAACCCCGTGTACGCCACACTCTACATGGGTGGTCACGGCAGCCGCCACTCCCTGGCCAGCACGGACGAGAAGCGAGAACTCCTGGGCCGGGGCCCTGAGGACGAGATAGGGGACCCCTTGGCATAGGGCCCTGATCACTGGACTCACCCCAGAGAGCCTCCTGCCCCCTGCCAGAGAAGTCCTTCGATGAGCCCCCTCCTGCCCAGCCAGCCCTTCCCTGGCCCTGCCGGGGTGTATAAATGTAAAAATGAAGGAATTACTTTTTATATGTGAGTGAGCAAGTGAGCAAGCGAGCACAGTATTATCTCTTTCCGTTCTCCTCCTTCCTGCCTGCTCCTCAGCAACCCCCCCATGCTGCCTTCAGGGAGAGGGGCAGGGAGGGCTCTGGGGGCTCCTGCGGCTCACAGGTACCTGCCTCCCACCTTCCACCAAAATGCACCCCCACTGGGAGAGCTGGTGGTGCTGCCTCCCCTCCCTGTACGAGACACTTTGTCAAGGCTCTCCCCTCCCTCAGCCCACCCCCACTCTCACCCCCCCCCCCAGCTCCCTGAGGGCTCCTTCTGGGAAGGGAGAGTCCTTTGCTGCCCCTGTCGGGAAGACTTGGCTCTGGCTGAGGGAGCAAGGAAAGGATGGAATTTTTTAGTTCTTCCTTGGGGGGGGGGTGTTCCATGTGCCAGCCCCCACTCTGGGGCACCTCTGAGATGGCCATGCTCAATACCCCTCCCAGACAGGCCCTCCCCCTCTCCAGTGCCCCCACCGTGGCTCCCAGGGCTGGAGACTTTCTTCGGTAAATGGTCCCCCAGCCTCCCCCACCCTCCCCTGGGGATGAGGAGAAGGTGGGGCACACCCAGAAAGGGCAAGCGGGGCAGCCCCGCTTTGGGGACATAAACGTTTTAATAATTTTTGCTGAACTCCTTTACAACTAAATAACACAGATATTGTTATAAATAAAATTGTAAAAAAAAGAAAAAAAGCCACTTGTGTCTACCTATGAGTGTGAGACTCTGGGAGCTGGGCTGTGCTTGCCTGCTTCTGCCACCAGAGGGAGGCCTGCTCTGTGCTGGAGGCAGGCTGGAGAGTCTGGTCTTCAGTGCCCTTCTCCCTGAGCTCCCTCCCTCTCCATCTGGCTGGCAGGGGAAGGGGGTGGCACTGGACTTGAGGAGGAAGACCTGTTTCTCCTGGCTGTGTGACCTTGAGCCAGAGACTTCACCTTTCTGGATCTCGTATTCTCTCTGGCTCTACGACGACAGTAACTCCAAAACCTGTTTCTCTGCATTGTCACTTACAGGATAACACCACCAGCCTCCCCAAAATGATCTCCCACAGTGAGAAATCCCACCATAAGAACTGAACGCACTGGGGTTGTGAAGGGCTTTCTAATCAGTCCTTCAGGATGTTCCCACACAGCTCTCTCTGCCTGAGTTTGCTCTTGAAGCGCTAACATCATCATGGAGACTAATCAATCAGATGCCAAGAGTAGAACTCTAGATTCAGGAGAAACGGGGGGGGGGTGCCCCTGGACTGAAGGAGAACTGGGAAGACCAGTTAGCCAGGCCCCACTGGCCACCAACAGATCCAGCTCACCCATCATTTTAGACATCCCAGGGGTTGACAGGAAAGGACTGCTATAATCAGAGGGGTCGTAGGTCTACTGCGACCCTCACCCAGAGAGAGGGGAACCTCTTGCAGAAAGTCACACAGCCTTACACTGTCCAAGACTGAGAGAGTTAGAGCACCGCTCTCCCCTTAACAGCAAACGTGAGCTCAGGGAGGGCATCTCCCAAAGGAGGGCACTATGTTGCTTTCTGCCTCCCTCTCTGGTTCAACCTCCTCAGCTTATTCCCTTCTTGAGGAAGCTATGGGCCCAGGCACCTCTAGAAACAAGAACCTTCCCCATCCCTCTTAGCACTGAGATCCCATCTCCAGCCTCAGCCTCCAAGCCAGTTCTGAGATCGTCCACTGTCTGGGGCACCTCAGAGCCCCAGGGCAGAGTCACCCTGCTGGGGAGAAGAGGCATCCTCCACGGTTGCTTAGGAAGGTTTATGACCTCATCTGTCCACCAGGTGGCGCACGACTCCTGCAGCGCTGCTCACCCGTAAGCCCGGCACAGCCCCCTCCCCAACACTAATTATGCACCTGCAGGCGGACCCCAGCCTAGCCTCTCACTTCCTTCCCTCGGGCTCTTCTGCCACACCCCCTCCACCCTCCACCCTCCGTCCGCGGCTCCCCTCCCTCCCCCAGCGCCCGCCTGCTCCCCACCACCACCAGCCCCACCCCCTCGCTCCCTCCCTCTGTCAGCCGTGCATCTGGCGCCCCCGGGGAGCCACTGATTCTCAGCCTGTCGCCTCAAGATCCTGGGCAGAGCGAGAGGGGCCCCCAGCTGCGGCTTGGAACACACACCCCTCCAGTCAGCTTCCTCCCTCTGCCCCTCAGGAATGGCCAGGAAAGAGTCTACCAGGAGGCAGTCCTAGAACTCCTCACCTGGCAAGGACATCGGGCCTAAGACAGAGATGGAGAAGAGACAGGGACTGAGGCTGATACAGACAGAATGAGAGACAGAGATATGGGGATGGAGAGATGCAAGGGCAGAGGCAAAGACCCAGAGACGGGAGTGGGGTGTGTGTGTGTGTGTGTGTGTGTGCGCGTGTGCGTGTGTGTGTGTGTGTGTCTATAGCTGGAGACAGAAGGAGGTGACCTAAGACCAGCAAAAGGAGAAGAGATGAGGTGGGGCAGTCGGGACTCCAGAAGATCAAGACCCTAGTGATGGGCTGCTACCCCGGGTGCCCTAGGCCTGGGAGTCTCCACTGGCCCCGTCTACTACCTCACAGCAGCCCCTGTGCTTGGCACCTGGGCTCAGGATTCTGGTTGGAGCCTTGGGGCGTCGGGCCTGGCCATTCCTGCCCCTTCCGGCCTCTCTCCTCTCTGCCCCATCTGCACCCAGGTCCCCGCCTCCTGGCTTCTGTCTATCTCTCTGGGTGTCTCTGTGTCTGCCTCATCTTCTCAGCATCACTGATCCTTTCTGCTGTCTGTCACATCTTTGTATCTGAATATCTCTTTGTATGTGGCTGGGCTTGTCTTTTGGACTGCCAGGGCCAGCGTGTACCTGTGTGTGTGTCCATCTCTGTCTGTGGATGTTTGCTCTCTGCCAAGGCAAGGAAGGGGGTGGGGTCCGAGCATCTGGCTGGGTGTGCTTGTCTCTTGCTGCAAATGTGCATTTGTCTCTGTGTGTGTGTGCTCCTGTGAGTGTGCATCTGTGTGTGTGGGTGTGGGTGTGCATCTGTGTGTGGGGGGGTGTGCATCTGTGTGTGTGTGCTCCTGTGTGGGTGTGGGTGTGCTCCTGTGTGTGTGGGTGTGCATCTGTGTGTGGGGGGGGTGTGCATCTGTGTGTGTGTGCATCTGTGTGTGGGGGGGTATGCATCTGTGTGGGTGTGCTCCTGTGGGAGGGGCGTGCATCTGTGTGCATGTGCATCTGTGTGTGTGTG